CTTGTTGTGATTAAGTTTTCTTCTGTCTTTAATATTCTATAAGTTCATTACCATATGTCAAGGTTGGAGTTTCTAAAATTTCCTTGCTCAGGACCAGAATCTGCAGATTCATGCCTTTCAATAACTCTAAAATTTTTCTTCAAATATTGCCTTTTCACCATTCCTTGCATTTTCTCATCCTAAAATTCTGATGTATATTAGACTCTCTTTCTATGCCTCATGTTTCTTATTGTACTCACCCTCTTTTTTATTTTGTATCACTTTATCTCTCTGCAGCATTGGGATTCATAAATTCTCTCTTCAACTGTGGTTAATCTGCTATTTAATCCACTGGAGTTCTAATTTCCATGGCACTGGTATTTTTTTTTTTGTTTTTTGTTGTTGTTGTTTTTTGTTTTTTTGAGTTCTAGAACTTCTTTTTATCTTATTTTGTTTTTTTTTTTTCTAATTTTGCTTTTCCTTTTTCATAGTATTTTATTTTTTCATGGTTCAATGCAGTCTTCTTTGGTCTTTAACCAAATTTAAAGGAATTTTAATTTATTTTATAGTTTCATCAGACTATTCTATTTTCTCAACTTCTTGGGGTTCTAATCCTACTGTTTGTGGTGTCTGCTGACATCTGTTCATGTTGGATCATTTCAGGGTATGTTTTGGTGACAGTGAATTCCTGTTAGCTTTGGGACTGAGGTGTGTGTCTTTTTTTTTTTTAATCATGCTAAAGAAATTTCTATGTACTCCCATTTTGTAAGTGTTATTTTGGTGTTTAATCAGAAAAGGATACTGAATTTTCTGGCCCTATGAAGATGAACATAAAAAAATTCTCCTTAAATATAATTTCCTTCACTCTCCTCTTCATACAAAGACTTCACTTATCGCCCTAATTAAAATAAAAGGGCCCCACTCCCTAACCTCCTCCCCTGTTTAATTAATCTCCGTAACAGTTATCACAATCTGACACTAAGAACTGATAAGAGGCTTTTTCACTTTTGTATCCTGGGTGGCTAAAGCATTCCCTGACATTTTAGCTAGAATTTTACATCATTTTCATAAGGAGATGGATTTTGATTTAGGGGACTATCTTTGTGGAACCAGCTTTACTCAGGAGCCCTGTGTTGAGGAGCAGTTAGGGCCTTGTTCCAGGCTGGCAAAAATTATATTATCTTGAAGACCCAGAGTTTTGCCTGTGAATTATTTTAGCCTTTACTTCCCCCCAGCCAGTGGGGAGGCCCCAGCAGATGTTTTAGGGTTCCTCTCAATGCAAAAGCCCTTCTCTCCTCCACACAGAGGGACTGCTCCCTGCAAATATGGCAGCCCTCTGTGTGGCTCTTCACTTGACTTCATCTCCTCTGCTTTCTGGAACCACACCAGATCCAGGGAAGATTCTGCCCACAGTCTGGGCTCCTTATTGCTACCTGTGCAGGAGAATCTGCGCCTCAGAGTGTGCCCCTTGCCCTGGAGCTGCTGCTCTGCCAGCTCTGCGGTCCCTGCGAGGCTGTCTCCACTGTCTCCTTCTGACCCAGTCCCCACTGCCTTTGCCGGTCTTCTCACCTAATTTTTGTAGGTCAGAATTTTAGCTGCTTCCTAGTCCAACATATGCAGTCTGTGTTTCTGTTTCTCGTTCCCCTTGTTGTTCTTAGGAGACTCCAGGGGGAAAGGAGGCTGAGTGTGATCTTATTCCTCATCTTAAGCCTGGGAGCCTCCGTGCACTGGGCGCAAGCCCGCCAGCTTCTCTGTCATGGGGCATCACTGAGGGACTGTGCTGCACCTGGGTGGTGGCAGTGGATCCCTACAGTGGCTTTATGTTTGCTTCTTTCAGATGCCCCAGAAACTTCACCAGACTTGGCAAAATTTACAGTAACTCCTTGAGTGTTTTCAAAGCCAAATTTTGATCCCAAGCCTTATAGATTTATAGGACCTAGGATTTTTTTTTCCCCCTCAAAGACATCTTTTTCTTCCTTTCCCAGAGCCCAGACAATAAAGCCTTCTTGGAATGTAAAATATTTTCTAGTCCACTTTCTATTAGGTGTATAGTGCTCCCAGGTACCTGGCTTTATGTGTGTACCTCCATCCCTAATCCCTACCTCCTCTCCTGTCACAGGAAGGCAGTGAACTCCATGGCAGTCACTTTATGCACCAATAGCAGGACCCCCGCCCTGGCAGTGCAGGGCTAGATCACAGGCATGCACCTGGCTTTCCATGCCCTCTTCACTCAGAACCTTTGCCTTGTTCTCCTCTTAGCTTAGCCAGGCCATCACATCTGGGTGTTTGTAGCATGAGGGTGTTGAGACTGCCTGGCCTGGACCAGGCGCTATTGAGTCCCTAGCAGGTGCCAATCTCCCTGGTTAACAACAAGAGCACACACCTGTTATCCTAGTACTCTGGGTGGCCAAGACAGGTGGATCATTTGAGCTCAGGAGTTCGAGACCAGTTGAGCAAGAGTGAGACTCCGTCTCTACTAAAAAAATAGAAATTAGCTGGACAACTAAAAATATATCGAAAAAATCAGCCAGACATGGTGGCACATGCCTGTAGTCCCAGCTACGCAGGAGGCTGAGGCAGGAGGATCGCTTGAGCCCAGGAGTTTGAGGTTGCAGTGAGCTAGGCTGACACCACAGCACTATAGCCAGGACAACAGAGTGAGACTCTGTCTAAAAAAACTAAACAAAACAAAACAAAAACAAGAGCCAGGCAGGGCTTTGCACAGACCGCAGTCTCTGATGTCACTTTGGTTTTGAGTAGTTATTTGCTAATGTCTTCTATACACATACTAATTCTAAATATCCTTTTAAAACAATCAATTTAAAACAAACAATTTAAAAATGAGCAAAAGACCTGAATAATAGACATTTTTCAAAAGAAGATACACAAATGGCCTACAGGTATATGAAAAAATGCTCTACATCACTAATCATCAAGGAAATGCAAATCAGAACAAGAAGATATCATCTCACCCCAGTTAAAATGGCTTTTATCAGAAAGATAAAAATAACGAATTTTGGCACTTTTGCTATGACAAGGAGTCCGGTCATCTGGGACATATGTATCTTGCTCTGTAAACCTATATCTAGCTCTTGCTCTATAATCCTATCTTGCTCCCCCTCAATAAATTTCACCTTGTGCTCGCCTTAAAAAAAACAGAATTCTAGTGAGGATGCGGAGAAAGGGGAACACTCATACACTGTTGGCGGGATGTAAAGTAGTACAGCCTCTGTGGAAAACAGTAGGGAGCTTACTCAAAAAACTAAAAATAAAACTACCATATGATCCAGCAATCCCACTACTGGATATATATACCCAATGGAAATGAAATCAGTATGTCAAAGAGATACCTACACTCCCACGTTTCCTGCAGTACTATTCACAATAGCCAAGATATGCAACCAAGCTAAGTGTCCATCAGCAGTGGAATGGATAAAGAAAATTTAATATGTACACACAATAGAATATTATTCAGCCATAAAAAAGAATGAAATCCTGTCATTTGCAGCAATATAGATGGAACTAGAGGTCATTATGTTAAATGAAATAAACCAGGCACAGGAAGGCAAATATTGCATGTTCTCACTCATATGTAGAAGCTGAAAAAGTGGATCTCATGGAGGTAGAGAGTAGAACAATACATACCAGAGGCTGGGAAGGGTGGTGGGGAGGGTAGATGATGAGAAGTTGGTGAAGGGTACAAAACTGCAGTTACATAAAAGGAAGAAGTTCTAGTGTTTGATAGTACAGTAGGGTGACTATAGTTAACAGTAACTTAGTGTATATTTTTAAATATCCAGAAGAGAATTGGAATGTTTCCAACACAAAGGACAAATGTTTGAAGTGATAGCTATCCCAATTACCCTGATTTGATCCTTACATATTGTATGCTTGTATCAAAATATTACATGTACCCCCAAAATATGTACAACTATAATATGTCGATAAAAATAAATAAAATAAAGTATCCCTTTTAAAATAAATTTAATCTAGGCAGATGGCAGTGGTGGCAAAACCATAGTCTATGCTTTCTGGATCCCCATATAAACACAGGGCAGCAAGGTATTAAAGCCAAATCTCATGGACAATATTTGCTGCAAAACTAAGTGCCAAAGAATCCCCCTGCCACTCTAGAATACAAGTGGGTGGGCAACAGCAATGAGACCTGCACGGTAACAGCCTGAGAGTAGGGTCAAGCCAAAGGAACACGCTCCCTGGGCGCCTTGGGCCCTGCGCATGCCCAGTGCAGGAGCGGAGTGAGGACCGGAAGAGCGCGGGGCAGGGGCCCAGTGAGGACCAGCCGGAGTACGAGTCCCGGGAGGGCTTGGTGCTCTCCGCCATCGAGGGAGGCCGGGGTCTGCGATGGCATCTGAAGGTCTGTGAATTCTCACACTGACCTGCCAGGGTTCCTTTCCCAGACTGCACCCAAAACTGGACAGCTAGGAGCCGAATCAAAGTTGAGCGACAAAGAGCAATAAAGACAAAGGAGACAGAAGCTCCAACTCAGGGCGAGGACCAGGGTGAGGCAGGTGAGGAGAGACAGTCTCTGGCCTCGAAAATGTCAGGGGGCACCAAAGAATTCAGGTATGGAGATAAATGAGATTTTAATGCGATAATTTTTAAACCAATTTTTTTTCAGAGAATCAAACCATTTATTGATTACACATGATAATGGTTGATACACAAGCTTCGTTCCCATCTATAATTTTTATCCGGTACCATTATTCAATTTAGATATATTGCATAGGATATGCCACAATCATCTTTATAACCAGTAATTCCATGATTTTTCCTTGTTTGAGCCCTTTTAATGGTGAACTTTAATGGTGAACTTCAGGTCTATGAACCATCAGTTCAACTACACCAAGGTTTCTGAAGACAATGGCTTCTCCACCCCAGCAGGTTGTAAATGAATTTCAAATAGAACCTGGCATCACCCTGAAGGAATTCTCTTCGCACTTTGGGGAAGTTTACCAAAATGGCTTCAGAGTAGACTAACTTTTACACAGCACATTCAAAAATTTTAAAAAAGACACATTTATTCAGCATCATGATCAGACTATTACATTTAGCAATCAACAGCATGGGGGCAAAAAAAAAAAAATCTACATTAAAACCCTTTGTTGGAATGCTTTACACTTTCCACAGAACAGAAACTAAAATAACCTGTTATACAATTAGTCATAAATACAGTCCTCGAGTTTTATGCCCATACACACGAGTATTGTCTAAAACATGTCTTCTTTGTACCAGCCGGGCCCTGCCACCACTGTGCTTGGCTGACTTCCAAATCTGTTGTAACCTGTGGCTTCCCTGTCACTTCTCTGGCTCTCCTCTGCTGCTAAGCTTTGTTTCCTGGGAATAATTAAAACCTTCTGCCACTGCCATAGCTACTGCTGCTACTGGAACCACCATAGCCACCTTGGTTTCGTGGTTTGGCAAAGTATTGGCCTCCACCACCATAGGGGCCAGAGCTTCTGCCTCCAAAATTTCCTCCCTTCATGGGTCCAAAATTTCAAGACTGATTGTTTTAATTTCCAAAATCACTGTAGCTTCCACCACCTCCAAAACCTCTTCCATCATTACCAAATCCATTGTACCCATCCCCACTGCCCCCATATCCACCACCACCACGGCTGCCACCAAAGCCACCTCGACCACTGAAGTTTCCTCCACGGCCAAAGTTGTCATTCCCACCAAAACCACCTCCACGACCACAACCAGAGTTTCCAGAACCACTTTGACCTCTTTGGCTGGATGGAGCACTAGCATCTCTTGCTTTGACAGGGCTTTCCTTACTTCACAGCTGTGGCCATTCACAGCATGGTGTTTCTGAATGACAGTCTTATCCACAGAATCGAGGTCATCAAAGGTTACAAAAGCAAAGCCCCTCTTCTTGCCACTGCCTCTGTCAGTCATGATTTCAATCACTTCAGTTTTCCCATACTGTTCAAAATAGTCTATAGGTGATGCTCTTCGGTGTCTTCTTTAATGCCATCAACAAAGACCTTTTTCACAGCTGAGTGGGTCTTTGAGAATCTTCTCTGGAGGCAGCTCTCTGGTCCCACAACTCTTCCATCCACCCTGTGTGGCCATGCATTCACTGCTGCATCGGCCTCCTCCACAGTGGCCTATGTGACAGACCCCAAGCCCCTGGAGCGCTGGGTGTTTGGATCTCTCTCCACCACAGTCCGTGAGCAGTCCCCATTGCTCAGAATGGCTCCTCGGACTCTTCAGTCGTTTCAAGGCTCAACCCTCCGATGAAGAGCGTCCGCAGCTGTGCGGGTTCTTTAGGGGACTCTGGCTTAGACATGACGGCAGTGGGAAGAGAGACTTCAACGACGCTTCCTCGGCAGCGTCCGCGGCCAGAAAGGAGTAAGGGAATGTATCTCTAAACCAATCTTAATACCCAAAAATTCATGACGAACAAAATATCGAAAGTTGAAATAAAGATAGGATCGTTAAGTCTTGTGCTAAGCCATACCGCAGCCTGGGGCCAAGGGGTAATTAGTAGTGCTGATCCCGTGTTTATTAGTGTCACCATGGCGTGTTCCGCCAGCACTTCCTGAGGATCTACTAAAGAATCAGCTTCAGAAACCAGTAACTAGAGAGCTGCCACACTGAGGATTGGTGATGATTAATACATGCATTAATTAATACTTGTACAGTTAAGACTAAATGAGAGTTTAAAAGGATGGATTATAGTATATAATGGCTTTATGATCTGAGAATGTAGTTATGGTACAAATGGTGAATGGATAGAAATAATAGAGGCAAAAAAATTTTAAGTGTTTTTAGAAGTCATAACTAGTTATGGTAGTATTAATATTATTCTACACCTGGTGTAGTGGCTCATGCCTATAAGCCCAGCACTTTGGGAGGCCAAGGTGGGAAGATCACTTGAGGCCACAAGTTCAAGACCAGCCTGAGCAACATAGCAAGACCCCATCTCTACAAAAATAAGAAAAATAATCAGGGTGTGGTGGCATCAGGCTGTAGACCCAGCTACTCAGGATGCTGGTGCAGGAGGATTACTGGAGCCCAAGAGTTCAAGGCTGCAGTGAGCTGTGCCACTATACCCCAGCCTAGGTGACAGAGCAAGACCCTGTCTCAAAAAATAAAATATATATATAGTTATTCTGAACCTGTGTGTACATAAATTGAGATAAAACAAATGACTAATTGGATATTCTAATTCCTGTTTCCTTAAGAACCAGGATTTCCAGTGTGAAAGAAAAGAAATACAGGTATAATAGGGAAAAGTAAAAACCCTCCAGTCCTCAATTCAAATTAGATATATCAGTATAAATTCCCAGATATAATATCATATATATAATTTCTAGCTGCTTCCGCTGAAAAGACCTAGAAACAATGATCAACCAAGAAATGAAGAGGATTCCCAGCATCCCAGCATCCCAAACTGGTAAGACTTCTTGTCATACCAGATAACAAGGACACATTCAAAGGCTACTAGGGTTATGTGTAAAGGGCTTGAGAGTTAACCTGAAGAGTCTCCAACTGGCCAAAGATGGGACAGTTTGTACATCAGTAATGATATCAGTAATGCATCAGTAATGATGCAGTGTATTGAAATCTATGTAGTATGTTTAAATCCTTGACTTCATGATGGTATTTTTTAAAACTAATTCATCTTCTTGGGAGGATGACAAGGTAGCAATTCATTATCTTGAAAGTGGATAAACAAATGCAAAGAAACAAGCATTTGTTCTGCTTTCCTTCTGTGAACTGTTCCACTGGATAATCAAAGACTAGATGAGAAGTGTGCCTATAAAATTAAGATAAGCTGATACATGAAAAATAAATCACATAATTAGAATATCACCATTTTCATCCTCCAGCAAAGCAGTGAATGTAAACATTGAGCATCGTCTCTGTTCGCATCTCAAAAGACGGAAAACCAGGCATTATGGGCCTTCTAATAAAAGAGCACCCCATCCCCTGAGTCTCACCAAGAACCTTGAGGGAACCTAGTGTGATCAAGCCTCTGGATCCAGTTGTCGATTTGCAGGAAACGCAGAGCGCAGGGACACGTGTTGGATTCCGTGAGAAAACAGCCAGATAGATCCAGACTGGAAATCTCTGCAGGGGACTGGACACATGAGAAGGAAAAGAAAGAGATGGAGAAGAAACCTACAGATTAAGAGACTTAAAAGATATCGACAAAAGGAGCAAGTCTAATTTACAGCCTCTAGAAACGCTTAGGTAATAACAACCTTTTAAAACTCAAGGAAGTCGTTACTATGTAAGGCAGGACACTGGCTACTTTGGGGAGGAGGGAGGCAGGTGCTATTGAAGGACAGGGAAGGCATTTTGGGGTGGCCGGGAAAGAACTTCCTGTTTCTTGGCTCGGGTGGTGGTTATGAAGGTGTTCATTTTATAATTCACTGAGTTTCACGGTTGTGTGGCTTTCTGTGTATTGCGGATGTAATTCAAACTAAGAACTGCTAACGTCAGCGCCTAGGCAGCTGCCCAGAGGCGCACAGCCGGGTGGGGACGGTGTCCCCGACACCCGTGCCGGGGGCGCGCCCGGGACACTCGGGAGGACGGCAGTTCCCGGGCCTGGCCCCGAGACGCCCAGAGGCCTCTTTCCCGCCCCACGCGGAAGGCGGGAGCGCGGCGGAGAGGGCACCCCCCGCCCAGAGGTCGGACCGGCGGGCTCCGTCGGCGGCTGCGCAGCGGAGGGTGGGCGCGGAGCCGCGGTCAGCGGGGACCTGCGGCTGTGGCCCTGCGGGGGCCGCGCGGTGCAGGACCAGGACGAGCCAGGGATCCGGGCCTCGCCGCGGTGGGCGCGGGCGCCGGGCGCCGGGCAGGGACCGGCGGAGCCAGCCCGACGGGCGGCCGGACGCCAAGGGCGGGGGCGGCGGGCGGGGCGCGGGACGCCTGCAATCCCCGAGGAGGCCGCACCCCTGCGCGGCTGGCCGCCCGCCGCGTCGGCGTGGCCCGGCGGCTGCTGGGGTCGGGCCTACTCTGTCCCTCCCAGGCTTCGGCTCGCCGCCGCCTCCGGGAAACTTTCTGGGCCTTCTCCAGGCCCCGCCTGGGCGGGCTCCCAGCCTGGCTCTGGGCTGCTGAGCCGGTCGCGCTGGATTGGGTCGGGCTCGCCGTCCGCGCGTCCCCCGCACCCACACCTTCGGGCGAGGAGGCAGGGCTGCGGCGCCTCGCCGCCGGAACGCTGGAGGACGGGGTGCTCCGCCGCCCCCGGACTTCAGGGTCCCCAAGGCGGCTGGGGTCGGTGGCGCGGGGATAGAGGAGATCCAGACTGGGGCTGGTGAGTTCCCCCAGGGGGCCGTGGCGAGTGAGAGGCAGCCTGGCCCGGCTTCCCTTCTCTGCCCACCCCCTTCTCGGAGTGGGAGACTGAGCCCGCGGGCATGACCGGGCCCTCCGCGGTGCCGGCGCCTCTGGAGGCCGAGAGAGCGCCTGGAAGGCGGCGCTCACTCCGCGTGAGTCACTTGCCCGTCTACTAGCCCAAGCAGGTGACACCCAGGAGCCCCGGCCGCGCCTCCCGCCCCAGGGTGCAGGAGGGAACAGGACACCCAGGACACCCTCTGCGCCCGCCGGCCCCAGCTACGTCTCCAGGGAGTGGGCGGGCGTCCCCTCCCGGGCCCCGGATTCCACGGCTGAGCCGCGCCGAGGCGGGAGCCCGGGCTGACCCGGACGGGACGGCGCCGCAGTTTCCTCCGCTGTCCAGCCAGCCGAGAGGCGCTGCGCGCTCAGGGACAGGCGCTGCACTTGGAGTCCACGAAGCGCAGGCTCCCGCCCTCCCCTCTGCCCGTGCCAGGTTCGGGCTGGTCCCGGAGCAGAAGGGCCAGCCTGCCCGGCTCCACCGGCCCGGAAGAGGTTGCCGCACCCGGCGGCGGGTCAGGACGGAGAACACACCAGCCAGCCGGCCTGGGCAGCGAAGTGCCCTAGAAAACCGCAGGCCCGACCCAGGGCTCTCCCCACCCCACCCTGACGTCCTCCTGACGCCTTCCTTTCCCGCCTTCGCCCATGGACCTCTGTCCCTGTCTTCTGTCCCCTTCCTCGAAGGACACCTCCCCACTCCCAGAACTGTCGCTGCCGCCCCTGTGGCCGCCTCCCCGCGCGCCCACCCCACCGCCGCCGGCCGGCAGACCCCCGACCCGGACAGGCATGGACGCGACGAACTAGGTCTGTTCTCTCTTGGGGGCTTCCAGTCAATGGGGAGACAGCAGAAACTGGCACATCTACTTATGTCAGCTGGCGACAAGTGCCCTGAGAACAAGTTAAGGGCTGGGGGATGTCGCACAGAGAAGGCCTCCCAGATGACGGAAGTGGAGACTTTTCATTGTTCATCCATTTCTACCTTTTGAGTGTTGTACTCAGATGTCATCAACTCTTTCTATATATTTCAAAAATATATAGAGTATTTCAAAATATTTCAAAGAGAAAATATTTCCAAATAAACAACAATAATTCAGATAGTAGGGGTCATCTATATTTAAAACATTAACAGTTTTATGGCAAAAATTAGCAAAAATTTATTTCTGTCATCAAAAGACATCCCAAATGGTTGAGGTTACCCCAGGGCGCGGTTCCAGATTTGGGGCCGGGGATTGATAGAACTTCAGCTTTATTTCTGTGCTTTTAATTTTTACTAAAAAAAGAATGTGTTTTATGCATTATTCATGAGCCTGAACATATGCCGATAATGATATCTGGTAGGGAAATCTGAAGGAAAAAAGGAAAGGCACTTATCCTGGGGAGGGGGAGGAATCCCTGGGAACTGCAGGCATGGAGCTGCCCACGGGCCCTTTTAGGGAAAGGGGCGTGGGCGGAACCCCCAGGGGCTCAGCGAGGCCTTCAAAAGCCACAGAAGGAAGGGCAGGACTGCCAACAGGGAACCGGAACCGGAACCGAGGCACTCTGACTTCAGAGGGCTGGTCACCACTGCTGAGAGGTGTCCTGATGTCCCTGAGTCTCAACCCCAGAGACCCGAAAGGGTCGTTCTGTGCAGGCTGAGAGGCTGCAAGGAGCAAGGCGATAGAGACCGAGCGATCACAGACGCAAAGAACAGGGCTGACAGGAGTGTGAGCACAACGAGTCCCAAAGCAGGACAGCGTGGGTGCAGTTTAGGTCACCTGTAGCCAGGAGGAGTGAGAAGTCTGAGAGGCAGTGAGAAGAAACCACCGTCCCTGAATGCTGCGATGGGATGGTCAGACTTCCAGAGGGCCTGGCAGCCCTGGCCGGCTGCTCCTAGGGTAGGAGCAGTTTCAGAGCTAGGCTGGCGAGGGACATATGGTGGAAGATGATTTACCTAAGCGCACAGCTACACACTGGTTTGGCGTTAGTCTG